AAAGTTCATTGGCATTCTTAATGGTATTGATACTGATGCATGGAATCCTGCCACTGATGAATTTCTTCCAGTCCAGTACAATGCAACTGATCTACACGGGAAAGTAGAGAATAAGCAAGCCTTGAGAAGGAAACTAGGTCTTTCATTTGCAGATATTAGGAGGCCATTGGTAATTGGTAGAATATTAAATGGTAGTTGGTAGAATATTAAATGTTTTACTGGAAGGTACTAGAAGTTGTTATAGGTTTTTAGAAGATTATAGAGATCTCTTTGTAATTATTACTGTAGGGTTAAGTTCTCTATTTATAGAGACCGCTGTACTGTTTAAAATTAATCAATTTGAATAACAATCTTCTTTCAAGTTGGTACTAGAGCTCCTAACTTGTAATTGAAATTTGATATACAGGTCTGGGTTGCACAGGAAATGCCATTTCTCTGAAACCTGCTCTGCAATTTACCGAAGGCTTTTGCCCTTCGGTAAATGCCCACTGTTGGTCATTACCGAAGGCTTCTGCCCTTCGGTAAATACCCTCGTTTGGTCATTACCGAAGGCTTTTGACCCTCGGTAATTACCGAAGGCTTTTGGCCCTAGGTAATTACCGAAGGACGAAAGCCCTCGGTAATTGTTAGCGACAAGGGATTTACCGAAGGATTTTTAGCCGTCGATAAGCCTTCGGTAAACACCCATTATCGACGGCCTATGGCTTTTACCGAGGGTTTCTGGCCTTCGGTAATGCCCTACTTTTTTGTAGTGAAAGGGCTTTTAATGTCTGTTATTTTGGCCTTTTAACATCAGCTTCAGAACCGATGTCTTTGTGGGTGTCATTAATCAAACATCGGACTCGAAAGGTCGAATGTCTTTATAGACGTCTGTTACTGCGTTAACCGACGTCTAAAGGTTGTATACACGTTGGACATGTTGCAGTAACCGACGTCTAATAGCTCCATAGACATCGAACATTGCATTAACTGACGTCTACTACAACTCGTGTCTTTGGGTAACGTAGTAGCACCTTCTTCCTTTGCTAGTTTCATCATAGAAAAAGGTTGCGTCTTTTGCACCTCTTATGGCATTTCAATCCAAAACCGAATCTGGGACCTTGCCTAGTTCCATTGAAACCGCCAATGAAAACGAACGGTGACAATAGAACTAGGTAAGGAACGAAGTTCGGATTTGGGTTGAAATGCTATAAGACATGCAAAAGATGCAAGCTTTTCTTACAACGAAACTAGCAAAGGGAGAATGTGGTACTACGCTACCCAAAGACACGAGAAAAACTGCACTGAAATACAACAAAAATTCATTTTAATCGGTTGAAATGAAAGATAATCAACCAAAGACTGATATAATCGGAATATAAGTACGTTTCAATGGTTCAAAAGAGAAAAAAACACACCTGGAAAAGCAATGCCACGGAGAGAAAAGGTGAGAAGGAAGACGATGATGGAGTACTCGTAAGTGCGGGATTGATGTCCAATTTAACAGCAAATTAGACGTCGGTTCCCTAGGGTAACCGACGTCTAATCTCGCATAGACGTTGGGGCCCTCACTAATATGACGTCCAAAACAACTTTTCACATACCCTATCAGGCCATTTAGACGTCGGATGCGCAGGCACCGATGTCTGTTTGGCGGAAAAAAATAACTTTTCATCTACCTGTCAGATATATACCTGTCAGTTAGGCGGGGCACTGACGTCTATAATCGAATATAGACGTCGATGTGGCAGGATCAGACGTCTCTAAGGCGAAAAAATGACTTTTCACCTACCTGTCAAGCATAGAGACGTCGGTGAGACTGTGAGAGAAATTGTCAGAGAAAGATTGACGAAAGAGATGGTGAAATTGTCAGAGAAAGGATAAAATTGTTAGTTGGAGCTGTGTGTTGTTATTGTGGTGAATATTGTGAGAATGTGGGTCTGTTTAGGTTGTAGCTCAATATTTACATTCAGGTGTAGGTATTCATGTAATGTGAAAGTCAAGCTCAATCTTTACGTTCAAGTATTTATATGTAATGTTAAATTTAGTTTCCCTTGAATGTTGTCCCCTTTTCAATTTAAAATTATGTACTTTGGTCCCAAATGGATATCAACGAAAAACACATGAAAGATATCTGGCTTAGTTTCCACTATTAGTTTTCACCTCCAGTCCACCATTTATGTCCACCTCCACTCCACCATTCACCTCCTCTCCACCATTAGTTTCCACCTCCAGTCCACCATCTCTGTCCACCTCCACTCCACCATATCCACTTTCTCTCCACCATTACTTTCTACCTCCACTCCACCCTCTATTTCCACCTTAAACCTTAACCCTTAACCCCTAAGTCCAACAACAAGAACATCAAGTAAGTAGGTTAAGGTTAGCAACACTTACCTCACGTACATACGTTCTTCAAATTTCACCTTCAAGGAATCACTACGCCATAGTGATTACAAGACCAATTTCATCAGATTGTTAAACCCAGAATTCGTGATAGGATTCTTAGATAAGGGTAATTTGATTTAACCCATTTTGTTAAACCTAGTTGACGTCATTATATATATATTTTTTTAATTTACACATTCAAATATATCATTCAGTTTTAACCATGAAGGCAACTGCACCGTCCAAAAACACTATTTTGAATATTTGTTAACGAAATATGGAGTCTAACTGAATTTTAAAACGTACCACGACTTCGAACAAAAGCCTCATAACTAGGAATTAAATGATGATGTATTAAACAAAATAAAAAAATGTAGAACTTGGATGAAAAGTATTAGGCTTAATACCCTATTTTGTCCCCAGTTTCGTTCGAAAATGTCAAATTAGTTCATCCTTTAAAAAATGCGTCAATTACGTCCTCACTTAATAAAATTTACATCAATGTTAATTATTTTTCTCTTTCTTTAATTAACGCCGTTTGTACGGATTTAACAGAAGGGATTTCATTGATGCAAATTTTATTAAGTGAGGACGTAATTGACGCATTTTTTAAAGGATGAACTAATTTGACATTTTCGAGCGAAACTGAGAACAAAATAGGGTATTAAGCCAAAGTATTATTTAGGGCTTAGATGGGTTCGAAATTGAATAAAGAAATAATAATAAAATTAATTGCGTTAAACAATTTTACTCTGATAACCGCTAAATCAAATCTTAATTGCTATTAAGACATATAGATGATATTAACCTAACCTGTATAAATTAATTACACATTTATTATTTTTACTATCACACCGCCTGGTGTGGAATTTTCTTCTTGTAGGGACACTCATTAAGACATTTGTACGACACTATTTAATGGTGGTATGACGTACTGCAAAAGTCTAAAATGTGACCAACACTCTTCGAAGTTATTAAACAAAAACCAAACAGTTATATATGTTGGCTTAACAATATTACAATAATTAGATAAAAATTCAAACTTGATTATATATGTGTTAACATTGTATTTAACATTTATTAATAAAAGATTAAAACTATATAATTGTTTTAAGATGCATTCTTCTTCTCTATCTTGCAGTATTGTTTTTTCTTCTAACTCTTCCTGACCTCTCAAATTCCTTTCCATGGATATCGCCTCCTCATCATACAAACTACCACGGAAGTACGATGTGCTCATCAACTTCACTGGAGAAGACATCAACAGAAAATTTGTTTCTCATCTCAATTCTGTCCTCTCTACTGTTGGTCTTACCACTTTCCTTCATCACCACAATGCAGTGAAGTCAACTCACATCCAAGAACCTATTCTCAGCCACTGTCGGGTAGCAATTATTGTTTTCACCCAAACGTATTCTCAATCTGCTTGGTGTCTTAATCAGCTTGAACAAATCATCAAATGGCACGAAACTTATTTCCGACATGTTATGCCAGTATATTATGAAATCCAGCCATCTGATGTACGTCTTCAGAAGGGTGACTTTGGAAAAGTCTTGAAGGCAACTGCACAGCAAACATTTTCAGGAGAAGAACTGGAGCATGGAATGTCCAGGTGGAGCCATGCACTCACCAAAGCTGCAAATTTCTTTGGATGGGATGAGAGCAATCACAGGTACATCACTCACTCAATCAACCATCTTTTAAGCCTCCGATTTCATTTTCTTAATACATGACTTCTTCTATAACTGCTTTTGAACTTGAAGGAGTGATGCTGAACTAGTGGACAAAATTGTTAAGAGCGTTTTTAATTTACAAGTCTTGTCTGCTACTAAATTTCCTGTTGGATTACAATCCCACGTGGAAGATTTGATTCGAACTATCAAAAATAAATCCACTGAAGTTTGTATGATAGAGATATGTGGAGAGGAAGGATCTGGTAAAACCACTCTTGCCAAAGCCATCTACAATCAAATTCAATGGACATTCAAAGACAAAAGTTTCATTGAAAATATTTCACAATTTAGAGGAATAAGAGGGCTTCTTCGTTTACAAGAACAACTTCTTTTAGATATCCTAAAACAAAAAGTGGAGATTCCTAGCGTTGATGTGGGAAGAACTATGATTCGGGAAAGACTATTAGGAAAAAGGGTTCTGATTGTACTTGACGATGTTAATTACTTTAATTTATTCGACCTATTTGATTGTCTTAAATTGTTAGTTGAAGGAAGTGTTATAATCGTTACATCAATATATGGAATAGGGCTGGGAGATCAAGCTAATTTTGACTTTCAGGTAGAGCGAATGAACGCAGAGGAGTCCCTTGAGCTTCTTAGTTGGCACGCATTTAGAGAAGCAAAACCAAAAGAAGAATACAAAGACCTTGCAAGAAGAGTAGTTAGTTATTGTAGAGGACTACCACTAGCTCTTGAAGTCGTTGGAAGTAGTTTATTTGAAAAGAAGAAAGAAGAATGGGACACTGTATTGTTAAAATTTGCGATAGTTAGCAGGCATCATGTTTCAGAGATAATAAAAATAAGCATCGAAGGATCACTCAATGAAATAGAAAAAGATATATTCCTTGATATATGTTGTTTTTTTGTTGGTAAGAGCAGAGCCTATGTTACGAAGATCCTAAATGGCTGTGGAGTAGACGCTGATATTGGAATAAGAGTTCTCATGGAGCGTAACCTCATCAAAATTAACAAGAACAACAAATTTGGAATGCATCCTTTGCTACAAGAAATCGGAATAAGAATTACTCAGGAAAATTTAGGAAAGGAACATTGGAAGAACAGGCGACTGTGGTTTGGTATGGATGCAAGATATGTAAGAACATTCTTTACATGTGGTTTGAAACTTCTTTTGAAAGTGTTTTCTTTCTCCTGTGCAGTACATTTGTTTTTATTTGCTCTTTTCAACACAGGGGACAGAAGTCATGCAGTGGTTGCCTGGGAAACAGCCTTCAGTTCTCACTGCCATCGGAAGTGTACAACCCACGGTAAATTTTCAGTACCTTCTTAAGAAACTACGATGGATCAGTTCGCATGCGTTTTCTTCAGAAGGTCTGCCTAAAAACTTTTATTGGGATGATGCAACAGCTATTGATTTAAAACGCAGTCTTCTTCGATTTGTCTGGAAAACATCCCAGGTTTTATTACCACCCACTTCTCGTTAAAATACAACTTAATTAAAATAAATTAGCAGCTTCCTATTATTTCATTTTTAATTTGTAGTCTAATATTTCTAAAATGAAAAACTATCTTGGTGCAGGTTTTGATATCGCTAAAAGTCCTTAACCTCAGTCATTCCAAGCATTTAACTACAACCCCTGACTTTACCGGATTACCAAGTCTTGAACACCTCATTTTCAAATATTGTTCAAGATTGAGCAGAGTACACCAATCTATTGGATCACTCAACAGTCTTATACTGCTAAATTTGAAAGACTGTACAAGTCTAAACAATCTTCCAACAGAGATATATGAGTTGAAATCTTTAAGAACCTTCATTCTCTCTGGTTGTTCCAAGATTGACATAATGGATAAAGATATAGCAAAGTTGAAATCCTTGATAACTCTAATTGCTGAAAATACAGCTGTGAAAGAAGTGCCTTTTTCAATTGTAAGCTCAAAAAGCATTGGATATATATCCCTACGTCAATTTGAGGGATTATCTCATAATCTTTTTCCTTCTATCATTCGGTCTTGGATGTCCCCAATAATGAATCCCATCTCTTATATTCATTCGTTTTGCATGGATATGGAGGATAATACGATTGATATTGCACCATTGCTTAGCACCCTTACAAATATTCAAAGTGTTTTGGTAGCATGTGACACCGAATTTGAATTATCTAAGCGAGTGAAAAATATTTTGGTTGAATATTTCGCGAATATTATAGAATCAGGAATTTCAAAGCAGCACTTCAGGTGTTCTTTGATTGGTGTTGGAGCATACCATCAATTCTTCAATGCAGTCAGCGATAACATATCTCAGGTTCTTCTCTAGCTTTGTCTTTGTTTCTTACTTTCACTATCATTTTAGTTATTATTCAAGAGAACATAAAATAATCCTAATGAAGTATCTGAGTCAAACTACAATAATCAATTATAAAGGTAGTATTTTTATTGTACTTTTTATTTGAAAAGATTCTTCTTGCTTTTGAGATGCGAGATCCATAGATCCTCTTTTAGAAGTTTATAATTTTTGTAATCAACTAATCAAGTGATTTTTCTTTTATTTCAATACTTTTTTACTTTATGGCTTCACTGTTGTTATATTTCCAATCGTGGTAGAAATATACTAAAAGAGACAAAAACATAAATGCTTTGTAAATCATTAACGATTTAATGATGATACATACAGAACATAAGTATTAATCAGATTTGTTTAGATTAATTACCATTGGTATGTTTTGATTATGTACTGCATTGTTGTTTGTTTGATTATAAATGCCCACTTTTGTAATTATTAATGTTAAAATAATGATTATAGAAGAGAATTTGAATAGAAAAATTAGATAAATGAAGAAGCCTTTTATGTTATGGTGCAGGTATTGTCAAGCAGTGATTCTTGTGATGTTTGTCTCCCAGCTGTGAATGATCCTTATTGTTTGGCCCATATGGGTGAGGGACACTCTGTTTCTTTCGTTGTGCCTGAAGATGGTGATATGAAAGGAATGATTTTGTGTGTTGTTTATTTATCAACTCCTAAGATCATTGAACCTGAATTTACTACTGTCGTAATTGTTAATTACACAAAGTGTACATTCCATATACACAATCATGGCACAGTAATTTCCTTTAATGACGAAGATTGGCATGGCATAATGTCAAATTTAGAATCTGGAGACAATGTGGAGATTTTTGTGAACTTCGGTAATGGATTGGTGGTAAAGAACACAACGGTGTATCTCATATGTGGTGAATCAAAGAACATGGAAAAGCGTCTGAGCCAAAGAAACATTCTCTCATTAGATTCATAAAGAAAGTTGTAATATGACTTCTGATAAGTCATTTATGTTCTTTGAGAACAGCATGATCACTTTCAACTATTTTCACACTTATACAACTTCAACTAATTTCAATACAAGTTCTTTCATTAGCTTCGTTCTTTATTATTTCTCTTTACATTTCTAGAATATAATTTAATTTTCTACTTCGTTACTCTTTTATGGATTCCTAAATTTAGAGTTCATTTTTCGATTGCATCTTTTACTTATTGATTGAGATTTGATTTTTCTATGATTCTAAACATTCGTACTTCAATATTATTTAAATATAACTGAATTTGTTTGGTAAAACATTTTCAATTACACCCTCGATTCAATTTAGATATTTACAGTTGTTTTCTTACTGTACCAGCAGGGGCCGGACGTCGTACAGAAAGACGTCCACATCATCCAATCACCGAACGGACCGGCCACCCATCTCAACATAATAGACCTAGGAAACCTTTCTACTGATTGAGGGGAAGGATTGAGCATGGCAGGACGGACGTCCATGTCCCCTAAATCATGATCCGCCTGAAGTCGGCCGCCCAGGGCATAAGTCCCGCGAGAACGGCCAGCCACGTCACTAATCAACTTGGCTTAAGGTAAGTAGGGATTAAAAGTTATTAGGCTGAATTGGGCCGTGATTAACTTTTCACTAATCCCAAGCCCATAGCGAAAACTATAAATACAAATCCAGGTTGAGTGGTAAGGTTGGTTGCATTCATTGCACATTTATTGTTGTTCGTTAGAGAAAGTCATTGCTCTCAACTGACTTTGGCATTGGAGAATCTTTTGTAGGTCTCCCGCCCCCTGGATCAAAAGGGAAATCAAGGATCAAGGACAAAGGACCGGTGACAGGTGCACGAGCATAGGAGGACTTGGAGATTTAAGATAACACAGCCCTACACATCTGAAACATTTGGCGCCCACCGTGGGGCCGTGTGATTTTAAAAACCCAATGGTGACCACGAGAAATATGAGCATGGACGACCCGATTGAGATGATCAGAGTTCTACAGCAAAAGATGGACGAAATGCAACAGCGTCACGAGGACGAGTTGGCAGCTGTAAAGGCCGATTGTGAGGCCCAGATAGCTCGGGAGATTGGAAGGAAGGACGGAGAAGAGGAGCGAGCGAAAGATAAAGGAAAAGCCGTGGCGGAAGAGCGTACGCCCCAAGGTACCGAGTGTGATAAGACCTAGAGGCCTACCGAGTCCGAAGCTGAAGGGAGCAAAGTTAAGTCGGTACACGCGAAGAGCGCGGCCGAAGACAGACAGATGGTGGTGAAGCCAGAGCTCTTGTCCACATTATTACTTCCCTTCACCCAAAATATAATGGATGTTCAAATTTCGAAACAATTTGTAGCACCACAATTCAAAATGTATAACGGGACGAC